AGGAATTTCGTCCCCGAAATTCACAGCTCTACTCAAATAGGAATGCATACTGCTTCCTCATCAAAGCTTCTGTTTCCCAAGTCTCTTCTTCGACCCGGTCACTTTTCCAAAGGACTTTAACCATTGGAACTTCTTTACTCCTCAGTTTCTTCACTTTTCTGTCAATAACTCTTACCGGTTGCACGGCATAGTTCAAATCTTCACGTACCTCCACGGGCGGCTTCTCCAACACATGAGAAGGATCATGCACATACTTCTTAAGCATGGATACATGAAACACATTATGTATCTTCTCTAACTCAGGAGTCAACTGTAGACGATATGCAACGGCTCCAATCCTCTCTATAATCCTAAATGGACCTATATATCGTGGGTTAAGTTTTCCTCGGGTTTGGAACCGAATGATCCCTTTCCAAGGAGAAACTTTCAAGAATACCTCGTCATCAACCTTAAACTCTAAGGTTCTTCGACGCTTATCTGCATAACTCTTTTGTCTATCCTGAGCCGCTTTGAGTCTCTCTCGAATCAACTTCACCTTTGATTTGGTGACCTCAACCAACTCAGTACCCTCGAGTTTGGCCATGCCAACCTCGTCCCAGCATAATGGTGTACGGCACCTCCTCCCATACAATGCCTCGTATGGAGGCATGCCGATGCTTGCCTGATAGCTGTTGTTATAGGCAAACTCCACAAGTGCTAAGTGGTTGTCCCAACTTCCCTGGAACTCCAATGCACAAGCCCTCAGCATGTCTTCTAGGATCTGTATGACTCTTTCAGACTGCCCATCCGTCTGTGGGTGGAAAGCAGTACTGAACTTCAACCTCGTTCCCATAGACTCCTGAAATTTTGGCCAAAAACGTGATGTGAATCGTGGGTCTCTGTCAGATACAATGGTCACTGGGACCCCATGCAGCCTCACGATCTCATCCGTATACAATTTGGCTAACCTCTCAAGTGGGTAAGTAGTGTTGATAGGCAAGAAGTGTGCACTCTTTGTGAGCCTATCTACGACAACCCAAACTGCATCATAGTTCCTGATTGTCCGTGGCAACCCTACCACAAAATCCATAGTCACGTGTTCCCACTTCCATTCAGGAATGGAAAGTGGTTGCAATAAGCCTGCTGGGTGCTGATGTTCTGTCTTAACTTGTTGACAAGTAAGGCACCGACTGATGTACTCGGCTATTTCCCTCTTCATTCCAGACCACCAGTAACTTTCCTTCAAATCACGGTACATTTTCGTGCCCCCCGGGTGCATGGCATAAGCCGATGAATGAGCCTCCTCTAAGATGGACTTTCGGAGCTCATCATCTGACGGTACACACACTCGGTCACGAAATAACAAGAGACCATCATCTCTTTCCCTGAAATCCTCCACCGGCCCCGCTTGCATGCGTTCCCGGACCTTCATAAGTTCTTCGTCGGCTTCCTGACCCTTCTTGATCTCATCAAGTAAAGTGGGTCTCACCTCAAATCGTGCCAATAAGGCACCATCGCTGGTTACCTCCAGTTGGGCTCTTAATGCCCTCAAATTAGTTATCAATGCCCCAGACGAGCTCTTCCGGCTCAAAGCATCTGCCACCACGTTTGCCTTGCCTGGGTGATACTCTATCACTAGATGGTAGTCTTTTATCAGCTCCATCCACCGTCTCTGTCTCATGTTTAGCTCTTTCTGAGTAAACACGTACTTCAAGCTCTTGTGATCGGTGTATATGTGACATGTCTCCCCGTAGAGATAATGTCTCCATATCTTCAGTGCAAATACCACTGCCCCGAGCTCCAAATCATGAGTAGGATAATTCACCTCATGCTTCTTCAATTGTCGTGAAGCATAGGCGATTACCCTCCCATTCTGCATCAGTACACATCCGAGCCCTTGGATGCTCGCATCGCTATAGACATCGTACCCCACACCTTGTTTGGGTAATGCAAGTACCGGTGCCTCGGTCAATCTCTTCTTTAGTTCCATGAACCCTTTCTCACATTTGTCATCCCATACAAACTTAGCTCCTTTACGAGTGAGCTTTGTCAATGGCGATGCCAAAACAGAGAACTTCTCCACGAACTTTCTATAGTAGCCTGCCAATCCAAGGAAACTACGAATTTCCTTGACGTTCTTTGGCCTCTCCCATTCAGTAATGGCTTCTATCTTCTTGTTATCAACAGCAATCCCTGATCCCGAAACCACGTGCCCGAGGAAGCCAATCTCCTTTAGCCAAAATTCACATTTAGAAAATTTGGCATAGAGTTGCTTCTCCCGTAGTGTTTCAAGAACAAGTATCAAGTGCTCCTCATGCTCTTCTTCACTCTTTGAGTAAATCAAGATGTCATCTATGAACACAATCACGAATCGATCCAAGTATTTATGGAATACTCGGTTCATCAAGTCCATGAATGCCGCCGGGGCGTTTGTTAACCCAAACGACATAACAAGGAACTCAAAATGCCCATACCTTGTGCGGAAAGCACTCTTCGGTATGTCATCTTCCTTAATCTTCAATTGATGGTACCCCGACCTCAAGTCAATCTTCGAAAACACGGTTGCTCCTCGTAGTTGATCAAACAAGTCATCAATCCTAGGCAACGGATACCTATTCTTGATTGTGACCTTGTTCAGTTGACGATAGTCAATGCACATTCGAAGTGTCCCATCTTTCTTTTTCACAAAAAGAACCGGTGCTCCCCACGGGGAGTGGCTTGGTCTAATGAAACCGTTATCCAAAAGCTCTTGCAATTGGGTTTTCAACTCGTTAAGTTCAGCGGGTGCCATCCGGTATGGCGGTATGGAGATTGGTTTGGTACCAGGCTCGACCTCGATCACAAATTCAATCTCTCTGTCAGGTGGAAGCCCCGGTAGGTCTTTAGGGAAGACATCCGGATACTTACAAACCACCCTCACATCATCGACGTTCGTTTCCTCTTTGGTTTTGTCAACCACGTATGCTAGATATGCGTGGCATCCCTTCCTCATCATATTTCTCGCTCTCACGGCGGATATGATACAACTATTTGATTTGCCGCGGTCCCCCTCGAAGCGTAGGGTGTCCCCCTGTGTGCCTTCGAGTTCCAACACCTTTGTGTAGCAATCTACCCTAGCATGATGCTTTTCTAGCCAATCCATCCCTAGGATTGCATCGAACTCCATCATACTCAGCGGTACGAAATCACACGTCAAGGTTTGGCCACCGATTTCCACCATACAAGATGGATAGTAATTGTTTCTTTCAACGTCTTCCCCTAGTGGGGTTGATACCACTAAGGTTTGTGTCATTGGTATTGATTGCATCTCTAAGCTCTCGGCAAACGCCTCACTCACGAATGAACGTTGCGCTCCGGTATCGATAAGGATTCGTGCATCCTTCCCGTTAATCTTTAGTGTCCCTACATTCATGAACCATGTAAGACATCTTTCCTACCCTCCCTACTCATTTATAGAAGGTTGCAATGTTCACACGCACGTTAGGGATCAAGAAGAGGCCTTAACGTCGCAAAACGATGCGAAAAAATCGGGTTTCGGCAATCTGGGTGCCAGGCACGGCGTGCCTGGGGTAGGCACGATCGTGCCTGGCTTGGGGAAACGCCCAGGGTGCCACTGCCTTGGAGGCACGATCGTGTCTGCCTTAGGCACGATCGTGCCTGGGTTGGGAAATCCTGGGGAGCCACTGATTTGGAGGCACGATCGTGTCTGGATTAGGCACGATCGTGCCTGGTTTGAAGAAACACCTGGGCAGCTACTGCCTTGTAGGCACGATCGTGTCTGCCTTAGGCACGATCGTGCCTGGGTTGGGAATTTTCCTGGGCAGCTACTGACTTGGAGGCACGATCGTGTCTGCCTTAGGCACGATCGTGCCTGGGTCCCAGCCGCCTGAAGTTGCCCGAAATCCCCCGGTTCGACCCCAAAACCTCGTGCAATGATCCTAGCGATTAGTATCCTCAATTTATGGACTAATTAAGGATAAAACACTAGTATATGAGAGGCAATACCTGCGACGGAGTCCGGGTTAGCTTGAGCATCCGCCTCCGTCATCGCATAGACCCTAGCCTGGGTCCTCCCTTGGTTCACGGATGGCGCGTTGCTTGTACTTGCCCCCCCGTGTCCCCGGCTTGCTTGAGAAGCCCCGGTTTGATTCCGTGTACCCGTCGGACCGCTACTCGGTCCCGATGTCCTTGCCCCACTCAATTGTGGACAATGTGCCTTCAAATGCCCGGCATCCCCGCATTGAAAACATCTAGGGGGGTCGCGACATTTACCGGAGTGGTTCTTCTTGCAATTGTTGCAACGAGCTACCACTGAGGTTTGTGACCTCGCGCCTTGCCCACTCGGGCCTTGGTTCCCCCTATATGGTGGCGGTGGTGCCCGGAAAGATCCTCCTCCGTGGTTCCCCTTTTTGTTGGAACCTTGGGAGCCATGACTCTCCCACTTTCTCTTTTTCGCCTCCTCGGCGTCTCTCTTCTTCCTTTCTTCCCATTGCTTCTCTCCTTTCAACCCTTGGTCAACCACTTGGGCAAACGTCATGTTAGGCAATTGTGTTGCCCTGTCACGTATCTCCAAGTCTAGAGCATCCCAGAAGTGGTTCACCATCCGGTTCTCGTCACAAGCATACTCAGGTATGTAATCGGCAAGATCCCTGAACTTGTACTCAAGTTCCCTCACCGTCATGTTACCCCCCTTGGGTTAGAAGGGTGTATTCCCTCACTTTCTTGTTCACCTCAAAATCCGAGTAATATTGGGCAAAGAATTCCTGTCGGAAATTCTCCCAAGTGACGGTCTCGCCATATTTGCCTTTGGTCCCATCCCACCACTTGGATGCCATACCTTCAAGCAATCTCACCGCAACCCTTAGTTTATATTCGGGGGTGAGTTGCATGTCCAGGGCTGCCTCATTCAGCCGTTTAATCCATTGTGCCGAAACGGAGATGTCACCCGTCCCATCGAACGGTTTGCACCCCAAGTCTCGTGCCTCTTTGATGTATTTGGAGATCCTTATGATTGGACCCCCATCACCCCGACCCCCATGTGGTTCAATGTGGGCCCTAGAGTCGCCATGGCTTCTCCCTCTTGAAGCCCCGCCCGAAGGCTGCCCAGCCCGGTGCCTTCGGCGTTCCCTCCTCTCCTCACGCTCACGGTGGTACTGTTGAAGTAGTGCTTCAATCCGTGCTAAGGAGCCATTTTCCTCCTCATCACTTACATCATCATCATCCCCTTCATAAGGGGTCTCAACCGGTTCAGTTTCCGGTCGATAGGTCGAGTCCTCATAGGACCAGTAGGTTTCACTTTCCGTGTCGACATGACCGTCACTCACGGTCTGTGATCGGCCTCCACGGCCAGCTCCTCTAGATGCCCTAGAGGTCCTTCGACTGCCCTGTCCAGTCTCCACTGGTACATGGCCGGTCGGGTTTCTCCTAGTAATCCTGCCACCACGGTCCATTTCTGAAAGAATTTGGAAAGAGTCGTTAGACTCGTATCAAATGTCAATTGACGGATAGGTACTTAAGACACATTTTGGCTCGAGTCACCGCCATACCAATTGCTAAGGGTACCATCTTAACAATTAGAGACCTTGCAACCCAAGTACCAAAAGCTCTCCAAGTACAAAACTTCTATGCTCATGGTTTTCAAAATCTTTTCAAAAAGAGAATTTTGAGACTTCATTATGAAGTTTATGGACTAAGGCTCTGATACCAACTTAATTGTCACGCCCCGGACCTCCCCGGACACGTCAACAACCCGCCGTACAATACGAATAGTCAATCGCAATCCAACACATTCATATTATACAAGGCGTCATGAATATCATTCACACATAAGTCATCCATAAACAACATAATAAGTAATTCATAAAGCAGCGGAAAACATTGTTTAAAACGAAAGGGCCACACAGGGCTATTCATGAGCACGCAGGCTCTATAATAAAATATCCATGAGCAAATTTATTAATGTTTCAAATAGAATGGAGGAAGCACGAACCAAGTCTTCTCTCCGAGGAATCACTCGATCAACGAGCACAGGATGCAAGCTCTAGCCTCAACCTGAAATGGTGGTGGGACGCCCCCGAAGGGGTCAGTACTCTATACGGCTATAAAGTACTGGTGTGGCAGGCATCTAATAGATATACAACAAGTATTTCAAACACAAGACCCTCAAATAGGGTGATAGTACATTATGATTGTAACCCTAAGTTACCCCGTTTAAAAATATACTTACTTTATATAAAAGTCAAGTAGTCGGCCCGTGGGCCCGTTTTCATTTGGAAATCACCATTCCCAACCCCGTGGCTATAAGCCACGACAACTCCTAGAGTCCAACCCTAGTACATGACATTGTATTCTAGAGCTCGGCTCTACTACATCACCATACAATTCATATACCTCGGGTCAATTTCCTTACCTTGCGTTCTAGAGCTCGGCTCTATTACATCACCACGCAAGTCCTAGAGCTCGGCTCTAGCTATACAATACATAGACTCCAAGTCTACACCTTACATGCATTCTAGAGCTCGGCTCTATTACATCACCATGCATTAAGGTCCAATTCTCAAGCAACCCTATGCCTAGAATTGACATATCATTAAACTACTTTGGGTCATCCTTAAAGACTTCCCATAACTTAACCTTAGTTCCAAACTAAGTTATTATATACACTTGAACTATATTCAAGTACCTTTCATACAATCCAATCCCTAGGATCAATTTAATCAACAAGTTCCAATAATCACTAACTAGTATTTCAATACTATTAAGATTATTGTTATCATACCATTATCCTCATTATTTGTAATTCTCTACATATTTATAATTATGTAGCAGCAACTTAAGTATTCAATCTCAATACACAAATATTTATTTATGTATCCACATAATTCATACATGAGCAAAATGCCCATTTTCACAAAATAGTTCATTTATACTCATTTAATCTCATATTATTCATACCTTCTCAAATCATTTCAAATTTCATTCCTTGGCAACTATATCAATATTTCATCAATATATAATCATCATAATCCATGAAAAATCATGATTTAAGCATTTAGGTAATCTCATGCTTAACCTACAAGTTGTAAGCAATTAGATGTCAATCCTCACCTTAATTGAGCTTTAAACTTTTCCTTCTTGATCCAATGGTCAAGGCTTTGGTCAAGGTTGATTTAGAACTGATTCCTTGCTTAGAAATGAGTGTTAAACAGCCTCCTCCAGCTGCCAGCTCCACTCCTAACCGAATGACACGAAAACAGTCCCTAGAACGGGTGTTTTCCGGTTAACTCGTTTCCTAGTTTTCCAAGATTTGCTCTAGGTTAGTATCTAACCTTTACATCAATAAAATAACTTCATAAGGACATATTATACACTTCTAGTAGTGTATAATAGTCCCACCAATCGTTCATATCATTTGGAAAATGAAAAGGAAGGTTTTGGATTCAAACTTACTTTGAATACAAAACTGTGTTCTGCGAGGTTGCGTTTTGTTCGGACAATCTGGAAGCCTTCCACCACTCCGATTGATGCAAACCAGACCTCCACGGATTCCTCGTCTTGAGAGCTTTCTTTTGGTACCTTATACGCCTTAATTGGACGAGTAAATCTCAAGTTATGGCTCGAACAGTAAGAGCTTCGCACTAAAGAAAGAACCTGCGGACTGCTCTCCTTCTTCCTTCCCTTTCGAGTTGTGTGGATACCTTTGCTCTCTTATCTCTTTTGGGGGGTCGAATGGGGGGTTGTGGGAGTATACAAGAGCTCTCAATCATGTTACCAAGGCATGTGGAGTGGTTCCCAATTGATCCCAATCATTTTGGGGTCCAAAATATCTACCAATACTTCCAAAAAAAAATGGGAAGATGGGTCCTATTGTTTTATCTTTTGTCAAAAGATGTCTTTTTGTACTCATCCTAATTTATTTAGAACAAGTCAACTTCCTACATCACATTATTGGTCTCCAATATGTGTAGGCTCATCTCAATAATTTACTTGATGGATATTATAGGAGGAAAATCCTACTCCCATTATTTAGCTCAATAATGCCAAAGATGGGGTTATAGGCATTTGTATTCTCCTTTAATCATTCTATCACTTATTTGACATTTGTCATACATATTATTGGACTACTAGCCGTGTGGGTCACTCCCGAGTGGATCCAGGACGCCATTCTCGAATACTTGCTATTTTTAGCAGGTTGGGCCCAAAATGAGTATTCGCCAGCCCGATACTAATATACGAGTTCGAACAGTATAATAATCGGTCATTAATTACGTAAAACATTAATCGTTTAACAAATGTTTGGAAATCAGAAATCCAATACATAAACTTTGAATTTTAAATCAAATTTTCAAGGACCTTCGGGAGCGGTGTCACACTTCGGGTCAATTCTGACCCGATCGGGTCGAGTGAGGGACCCGACCGGGTCTGTGTTCCTGAGTTTATCTGCCTTCAGTTTTTCTCCCCTTCTGCTTGTTAACAACTTTATCACTATTCTATAGCTAGAAATAGAAGGTAAAAACAATTACAACTAAAATAAAACAAATACTTACAAACTAACTAAAAGTGATGGAAAGTCTACACAATATTGATATAAAAGCATACACTTATGCACTATAAACTAGTGCATATCATGCCTAGACACCCTAAACCTCAACTACACCCAACTCCGGGAGGACGTTGGCCATTACAGGGACGAACAGCGGCAAGGTTTTGAAAGAATCGAGGAAAACCAGCGTAGGGTTTTTGGCCCCCTGCTCACATATTTCCACCAACAAGGTGTGTACTCTTCTTTCTCCACCCCTCCACCACCCCCACATGGTATGACCCCACGTATTGGGGTAGTTTTGGAGGAACTAGCTCCGGGGAGATGGACATGGTGGTGGTGGTCATGGTGGAGCAAGCGGCGCTTACGGAGGAGGCTATGACGGAAATGAGCACTGGGGACAGTGCTCTAACTAGTCTGAGGGGATAGATGATCATGGTATGCTCACATTCATGTTCTTCATTATTGTTTTTGCTTTGAGTAAAGGGTCAGTTTGGTCCTCGAAGTTGCATAAAAGGCGTCAAATAAGTCCTTATATAGAAGATTCTGTCCGGACGTGCCATTTGAGGTGGCTTCCGGTGGAATTTTGTGATAATTTTTTTTGATCATCTTATTCATTAAGTCTAGTTTACTCATACCAAATTTCAGCTAAAAATTCAATCGGGAAGACATTCAAATGAATTCTTGAAGATAACAGCGCTTTTAACGGCACAGTTATCTTCAAGAATTCATTTGAATGTCTTCCCGATTGAATTTTTATCTGAAGTTTGGTATGAGTAAACTAGACGTAATGAATAAGATGCTAAAAAAAATTTATCAAAAAATTCCACCGGGAGGCACCTCAAATGGCACGTCCGGACAGAATCTTCTATATAAGGACTTATTTGACCCCTTTTTTGCAACTTCGAGGACCAAACTGACCCTTATCCCTTTTTGCTTTTAAATAAAAGAAATTAAAAAAAAAAATAAGCTTGTTATGTTGAAAATCCAAAAAGGGCAACTTAAGCAAAATAAAAGCAAAAAAAAGAAGAGTGAGCTTGTGAGGATAAAAAAATGTGGGAAGCTAGGATGAAAACCCAAAAGGATACCTAGGCAAAATGAGAGAATGAGAGAAAGTATCCCTTTTATTTTTTTGCAGGATCCTAAGGGTTGACATGAGGAGGAAAAGAAGATGATCTAAATGAAGTTGAAGACCTTTTATTGTTCTTGTTTTGATCATCGGAACATTTTTAATGTTGATTTTCAAAAACACTTGTGGACGGTTATTTTGCTACTATGACTGTGTTGGAATCTTCATGAGCAGGTTTTCATTTACTCAAGACGAGTAAAAGATCAAGTGCGGGGGTGTTTGATAGGCACTAATTGTTAGTGCCTAAGTATACATTTTTTTATTTGTTTGTGACCGCATTTTTACTTTCATTATAATAGTTTGTAATTGATTAGTTTGAATTCGATTGTGATCGTAATTCTAGCATTTTATTG